CCTCCCCCGCGTCCTCCCCCTCGCCCTCCTCCCCTTCTTCCAAACCACTCGCACGGGAGGGCATGGCCCGATTGTGGGTAAAAGGATAGTTGTGACGGGGAACAGTTACATGCTTTGGATTGACAAGTGCGGCCTGTGCGGGCAGGGAAGCGACCATTTGCACGCGCGACGGCCACGCAGGATTGGGAGGAGATGATATATCGTAAAAATCTGACGCTGGTGTTGATGGTACGTGACAATGTGGGGTTGCAGCTTCCTCAGACAACTGCCTTTCTCCGCCCCGGGCGGGCCGTGGCCGGACTTGATTTCTCATCAGGCTTCGTTGATTGTGCTCTTTTTCATTTTTTTGGGACTGGTAGGAAGGTGAAGGAGAAATGCATGCAGCATGGTGCATTACTGTGCTTGCGGTGCCTGATTGCTCAGTCAGAAGATCGTAGGGCAAGAAGACCCTACAGGAGGCGTGTTCTGCCCGTAGTTGACGGCATCATCCCCACACAATATTGACACCTGCAGCAGCCTGGTGGAAGAATACATCAAACAACAAGATAAGCCATGAATTGAATTGAAAAAGAGGGGTCAGGTGTCATTTTTAATCGATCGCGCGCGCGGCGGCTTCAGGAAAAAAGGATCGGGCTTTACGCGACTCAAGCACCATATGGGAGATGCTTTCTATAAATTATTGACATATAAACAAGCCCCAAATCCTCATTGATGACCAAGACATACCCTAGCTACCTTTGACACGTGCCACGGTGCACCTGCTCCGGCAACGTGACGTGTTTTGGGATTTAGATCGGGGATCCGATGCCAGGCCTTTGGGGGTTAGGGGTTACGTGCAAGTTGACATATTAATGTACGCACCATATGGTCATGGGGACATAAACTCTTCCCAGCAAAAAAATGCCCCATGTGTGGACACTGTGACCGTGCACCCGCCGATTTTCACGTCCAAGTCGTGCCGTGGACGATGCAGCGTCCTTTTGTGTCCGAGTCGCAACATTTTTTATTCCAAGAAAGCGGATGCGAGGTGAAAATTAAAAACTATTGGCAAAACTTTCAAAAAGGAAATAAAACAGCGCCGAGAGCTACACACGACCCGGCAACAGAGCTGCTGCCTACGCATGTGGGATTGCGTGACAGGACACAGGTCGACAATGTCACAAGCCAGTGAGCGTGCTGATGTTGTGGAGTGCGCGTATTTTTGGTGTCTAGTAAAATTAAATTATGTTAGTTTAGTACCAAGCGACAATATCTTGCCCCCCCGATCTTCCCTTCGCGCAACAGCACGTCCTGACTGAAAATAAAAAAGTGCCATTGGTACCGTTTCACTTGTAGTACAATCCCAGCCGGCACAAGTATAAGCACATGCATTGCATGTGCTACAGCTTGAAGGATGTACGGACGCTGGCATCATGCTTCATGTGCATCTCTGACCACGTGACGTTCCCACCCGTACCTGGACTGGAACAAGTCATATGCCTGAGCAGCAAGCCTTCCCCATCAGGTTGCTTTTTACGTCCTGTTTTTTTTTTAAATACAAAAGAAACAAAGGATGTATGCCCTGTTTTCGTTCTTTCCTGTCTCTTTTTCTTACCCTTGTCGTCCTTTTCTCACCCTTGCCATCCTATTCTTCCAAACCGCCATCGACGTACAAATGTTACTCTCGACCAACATGGCACGAGACCCGCAAAAGAGAAACCTCCCCACACAGAATGGTTTTCCCCCAAGAAGAACTTTAACCGTATCATTCATTTCAATACCCATACATCTCCGTCATCACCCCTCCCTC